TTGGCTACATTTCCGGGATCGGTACTACCGCAGGCGCTCATAGATTATGGTGTCATCGTGCGTACAAAGCGAAATGGCCGCTGCGATTGATCCTGCTAATTTTACAAACTGTTAGCTTTCAAGTAAGTTTTGCATTATTCACGTGTTCACTTATTTGTATTATTATTTATTTTCTTTTCTTTCGTGATAACTCTCGTGTCTCGTTAATTCTCTCCTGTCTTAACTACAGTTGACTCATAAAAGCTTTTTGCGTAATGAATCACATTAATTATTCTCGATTTGACTGATTTATTTATTTTTTAGGGTACCATTTATCACTGGTCCAGGGATCACAGATTGCATCACAAATTCACCGACACCGACGCGGATCCGTACAACGCGCGCAGAGGAGTCTTTTTTTCACATATGGGTTGGCTTATGATACAAAAGCATCCGGACGTCAAAACAAATGGCGCACTTATTGATTGGAGTGATCTCAAACGCGATCCTTTTGTGGCTTTTCAGATTAAGTATGAGACTTATACATATAACCCACATGTCAATGTATCTTATAGTGCCCGAGTTTTTATCTTTGTTTACAGATACTATTCTTCTCTAATATTTGTGTTTGGTATCGTCGTGCCAACGATGGTGCCCTGGCTGGCGTGGAATGAATCTCTGTGGTACTCATGGGCCGGAAATGTTACTAGATTTTGCCTCAGTCTTCATTGTACTTGGTTAGTGAACTCGGCGGCTCACATTTGGGGAATGAGACCATATGACAAGTAACGTATCCGTAATAGTTTTTCCTCTTTTTGCGCGTACATAAGTTAGCGCAACCTCCTTAGCGCCAGTAAAAATAATCGGCGAGTTTAGTATATGAAAATTAATTCTAATTCTAATGTATCAACTAATGTAGTGCATATATGTCATCTTTGTTGCGCAGATTTATTTCTCCTACTGAAAACACGATTGTCGCACTTCTGGCTGGCGGCGAAGGCTGGCACAATTATCACCACATCTTTCCTTGGGATTACAAAGCAGCGGAGCTTGGAAATTACTCGCTGAATATTACCACAGCTTTTATTGACTTCTTCGCTCTTCTAGGGTGGGCTTACGACTTGAAAACTGCATCTCCCGACATAGTGAAAAAACGTGTCCTCCGAAATAGCAAAGAAACTAAGTAATAGCAGAAATAGCAACTTATATTGAATAACCTTTTCGCTCCGGAGATTTTTCCTTTAAAATTGACCTCGCATTTTAGCTGAAAAAGTTAATAATAACCTGTTACCCCCCCCTTCAAAGTTAATTTTGAAGGTCAAAGAAGTAACCAGGATTTTTTTCAATTTTTTTTCTAAATTTAGTGCATTAAATTGACCTTATAAACATCTATTACGTTCGCTTTTCTTGCTGGTCCATATATGGACCAGTCCCGGAGCGAAAAGGATAAGATAGTAGATATATGAGTTCAGAAGTTTATCTTGATATATGTATATGTGTGTATATGCAACTAAATATTATGGTATATGTATAAATGGTATAGGTATAAATAAAACAATAAATCTGAACTTTTATAGTATGGGATAAACAACTCTTACATGATGTGTACATTTTTTGAGAATTCTCGTTTACTTTAAAATAACATTGAAAACTATGGTGTTCACATAGTGGAAGTAAACTATTTCTAGATGTGAAGTGTATAATAAACCAATGAAGAATTTATGTTTCAAACTCACACAGAACAAAACACTCCAATGGACATCTATTAGACATCCATGATAGAAATTGGAATCATCTAATGGACGTCCACGTTAGCTCTTATGGATATCTATTAGATATCTAGAGTTCACTTTTTAAATATCCATAAGAAGTCTAATGGATATTTCGTATTCCAGATGTTTCGTGGTAATCCATAGATATGCAGTAGACATTTTATAGAAATTCTTGAAATGATTATTGGATGTTAGTTTTATAAATAAATAATAAAAATTAAAGGTTTTTAAATAATATACATATAATTTGCGTTGTTTAGATATAATTTATTTTATTTAAATTATTAATATATATAAAAGTAAATATCACATACAATAATGTTATAAGTGTGTTTGATGTGTATGTATATATAACAATATATATACAGGGTGATTCAAAACAATCCGTTATCCTTGAAAATACATATTCCTGACTAAATTCTAAGACTACTTTTTATTTGGAAAAATTTTGTCTGAAGCTTACTTTTTGAGTTATTAATAAAACTAGGTGACTTACCACGAGTCGGATACAAGAGGTAGGCAGGGGCGGCGCAACTCACCGTTAGACGCGAGCGATTACGTGCGGTGCCTGACGCGATCAGCTGATCGCTACACACTGTTTCTTTCTCTGTCTCTCTTTGTCTCTCTCTCTTTCTTTCTTTCTTTTTCTCACTTATTTATTTGTTTATTTGTAATTTGTATCACTTAATCCGTGCATTACATAAATCACTGTCAATCACTATCACTCACTATTGCTCACTTAATCTTTCAATGAGCGATACTTCTTGAAAAAAGCATGTAATGAGACACATGTTTTTTCCAAGGATTATCAGTCGTCACATAATTATTTCACGATAGATCACTTATTTCACTGATTGTACTTGTACACACAGCGGAAGCTGATTTTCTTCCAGTCTCGCACCGGCAACCGACGAATCGCTTTCGTTGTGTGTGTACAGCACGTATGTATGCCAGTTTTAAGCTCGTTCTACATTAAGCGTAACTTTCGACTGCCTTTACATGCGGCGTAACTTGCGTAAGCGTAACTTGCGTTAGCCAATCATATCGTTTCAGCTATCATACGCAAATACGACTGGATTGAAACGATTGGATTGGCTAACGCAAGTTACGTCGCATGTAAAGGCAGCCTAAGACGCAAGTCTCGTGGAATTGACAAATCACGTTAGTCTATTGGCTGGTTTGACTACTGCGATTAGTTGAATGTGAACATTTGATTGATTATTGTCTCAGAATTTTGAACGCGCGCAATTTGCGCTTCTAATTGTTTTTTCAGAACAATATTATTGCAAAACCTAAGATAAGATGTTTTACGTAATAAAATATTTTATTGTCCTGAAAAGGGCAGATTTATTATTGTTAAACGGCATTATCATAAATGTTCGAAGTCAAGGCCACCGTTCATTGCGATGCAAGCTCTCATGCGTCTCAGTAGATTTATCGGAATCTTCTTCATAATATCGTCTTCAATAGCCCAAATGGCATTGTGGAGTTTGTCATTTAATTCTTCCACGTCTTCGGGAAGCTTTTTATAAATGATTTCTTTGCAATAGCCCCACAAAAAAAAGTCTAATGGATTTAGATCCGGTGATCTTGCGGGCCAACGTATCGGGCCATATCGGCCTATCCAACGTCCACAAAATTATTGATTCAAATAATCGGTGACGATTCTTGCGCTGTGTGGACCAGCACCATCTTGCTGAAATATAATTTTGTTTCTCTCCGACAATGCGATTTCTTCTAAACATTCCGGCATATTGTCTGTCAAGAATTCTATGTACAATGCGCTATTTANAATGTCGGGAAGGATAATTGGACCTAGTAATTTTGTGCCCATTATCCCAGCCCAGACATTTAATTTCCAACGTGTTTGAAATTTGCTGANTCGAGTAACTCGAGGATTTTCATCGTACCACACATGCATATTGTGTGAATTAAAAACTCCTTCTCGTGTAAACAGCGATTCATCGCTAAATATTACACGAGAAAGGAATTCTGGATCTTCATCTACTCTTCTTAGAAAGTTTTGGCAAAATATTTTTCTTTGAAGATAGTCTTCTTGTCGCAGATGTTGCACGCTAGTATAATGANAAGCGTGCAATTTTTCTTCTTTTACAGTTCTCTGAACGGTAAAATAAGATAATCCGTGTTCTCGAGCAATAGCCCGAATACTTGTTTCAGGTTCTTGCTCGACAGCACGAAGGATTGTCTCTGTATTCCGCAAATTTCTAGCATGACGATGTCTACCAGTGTTTTGTTTTTTCGGTAAGACGCTGCTAGTTTCATACAATCGTTGAGCTGCTGCAAGTATTACAGAAGCTGAGGGATGTCTCAATCGGTAAGGATACAACTCAGCGTATCGTCGAGCAGCGACGGAAACTTGACCATGACACTCTCCGAGTGCCATGATCATATCGTAATATTCTTCGTTTGTGTATGCTGCCATATTGTAATAATCTTTGTTTCCTATATTGCTTCCTATGTTGTCTGACGCTTCGAAGTGTCGAACAATTATTGATTAAAGTATCGACCGCTTCATCGTATTTATACGATCTCTGCGGGGGGTCGAATTTCTCACTACTCACGAGCCGGCCACTCGTGAGGTTCAAATGATTCGATTGGCCGGAATGTTATCTATGCTAGAATTATTTAATTATCTTTCAAGAAAGAATTAGATTTTTCATTATTTTCAATTTTATATAATTTNTTTTATATTACAAGTAAAAATTCATTTTTGGTTAAATAATTATTAAATTTTATTGCAATTAAACTCATAGTAATTATATTTACGGCGGGAAGAATTGTCTCTTATCCTCGTACCACAAATATTGATCCAAATAGACATTCGGCTTAAATTTATAAGTTTGTTTATAAAACTGAAAAGTTTCAATATATAAGATATATCTATATTTTTTCAAAGTATTAATATATATAAGTATTAATCTGTTATATATATAAGTCTGTTATATATATAAGTATTAATATAACAGACGAGCAAGTTTTTGTGAAGCAGAAAGATTCGTGATATTTAAACTTCACTGAGCATAAGAAATCTCGCAACCGTTACATAAAAGTAGTCTTCTATTTATGTACATAATACATAAAGATATTTTGGGTAATCTTTTTTTATTATATTCGTTGATNTTTTGTGAAATGCTATATATGTTACGTTAACTAATAAATATTATATATAATAACGTATAAGTATATTTATAAACATTATAAATCTCTCTCTAGCTAGAATTAAATAATTAAACAAAACTTATAATAAAACAAAACTTACAACGATAGATAAAACTAGAATTTAAATAATAAACCCANGACCTCCATGAATAAACACCCTGGGTTTCGGAGAACCGTTATGATGCATGGCAACTCGATNTTTCAAAGCCTTATAAAGTTCTTGTAACTTCCGTTTTTTCTCGACTTCTTTCTTTCATCTACGACGCTATGCATCCTCTCTTTGCACCATCAATTCTACGCAATGTTNTAAAGTTGCTAAAACTCCTTCACTGGTGGCTTTAAATGTTATCGCTTCTTCCTTGAAATCCACTGATTGTTCAGCTGGATTAAACGATGTCTCAACTTTCTTTTCTAAAATTTATTTTAAATAGAACATTGATGAAACATTAATCTACATTATATTAAAATCATGTACCATTTAACAAGGAAGATATGTAAAAATTAAGAATTATTACCTTTCTTGAAAATATTCTTAGCATTTTCTGCACAGTTATCAAAATACTTTTGCAAGGTATCAATCTGCTTTATCAGAATGTCTCTGAATATTTCCATTTTGGCTAATTTTTCTTTCAGTCCTCGAATACCATGCTTGAAACTACCAGTGCTTGTTGTCGATTGTGTTGGACACAAGTGAAATGGCACTACCATGTCATTTGAGACTATTTTCACTTCCATGACCAGATTTAGACTTTTTGAGAAATTTGTGTAAACAGAAACTCTATTAGTCTTTACTTAAATGCAAACCAACATCTTAATTTCTAAATAATATTTTAAGGCTCGTGAAAATGTCATACAAGAATATAAGGCCGATACGAGCCATTTTTTGAATTGAAAATTCAATTCGTAAATTCATGCGGGATGCGGCATTTGCATCTCACATATGAAAGACCCCGAATACCCCCCTAACTAATTTTTAAAATATTGCGAAAAAAACTCCTCGGCCAGGAGTCGAACCTGGAATCTCCGGCTTACCGTGCCATCGCCTTCTCTGTTAGGCCACCGAGGCACTTGGAGTTAGGTTAAAAACTTACTTGTAAAAATTTACAAGTAATACTTGTTATAGATGTATACATATATGTATGCACGTTCAAGTTCCTGCTCAACATCCTGGGAATGGCTCGTATCGGTCTTATATTCTTGTATGATCTTAATTTCTATTTTACATACTCGAGTTTTTAAGTAATAAAATAAAAAAAATTTTGTAAGCAAATTAAAACAACACAGGCTCTTTTACCAACACACAAACACACACATATTATTTCAAAATAATTTTGTGCACTAGTTTAAATAATTACCTTATAAGACTTCAAAACATCTACCCATTGTTGCTTTTCTTCTGGACTGCTTGCTCTTAAATACCAGACTAAACAGTCATTAACAGATACATCAAATCTGCATTCATCAAATTGATGTGCCTAAGAAAGTAAATTACTTGACTTAACACATACTCATTATCTTAACTGCTCAATCATAATGTGTTCAAATTATCAGATATACAATGCAGAATTGTCATACACAACTCTTTTACCTTAATATTAGCTTTGTTACAAACTACCCAGGCAACCAGCTGACGTTATAATGACGTTAATATAAAGTCAGTTTTTGACCAGTTCGACGTTAGTTTATGACGTGATATTAACGTAATGACGACGCGAGTTTGTCTCGTCAAAAATGACGTCATGTTAATGACGTTTACTTACGTCATTAATCTGACGTAACGTGATTAACGTGAAAAAAACTAATGGCACAT